ACCAGGCGGCAGACTGGGCGGGGATGGTGAGTACGTCACTAGGCTCCGGAGTTTTAACGGAGGAAAGCTGTCCTACATCCCGTGAGTAAGCGACGGAAGGGATGGTGAGTATGACCAATGAGACGAGAGTTGAATGGTCGGTCTTGGTTGCATGCAGTATGCATGCGAACGACAAGCTGGTGTGGAGCTCGGGAGCGTAACCACCCACGTGATGGGATCACAGGCGAAAGCGAAAAGTATAAAGGGCTTTTCTTCTGTCGTGGACAAACTTCTTCCTTCTTTTTTACTTTCTGGGAGAAAGACGCTTTGCACCTCTCGAAAACGAAGCAACCGTCGAGGCTTGGACTCGGCATTCACACAAACACCCACGATGGGGTTATCTGTAAAGATCTCGCTTGGCGACTAGATCACGGAGAAGTGATGGTCAGAGAACCTGATTCCGTCCCGCGGACCCTCATCATGATGATGATGAATGATTGTGGTTGTGGTGAGTAGGCACGTAGTAGTGCCTTTGACGATGGGAAAAGCAGAGTGGCTTTGTCATGGACACATGGAGAGACGAGATACGTCTCACTCTACCCCTCACACCTTGGACACAATGTCCAAGCAGGACTGGCACTGGGGCTGGAAAGCCACAGCAGCCGAAGGTATAAAGGGCATGGACCACCCCCATTTTGGGTGTCGAGAGACCTTTTCCTTTTCTACCCTTTGTGGTCACGCGGTGCGCCGTGACACGCGTCCTCCGATTTGTCATCGACAATCCCCCCCGCCACGAAATGGCTCCCAGGTATGGCCGGAGCAAGAAACGGTACCGTCACGAACCCCAGTGTGGTGAGTTTGTTCTGTACGCAAAGGTCATCTTTGTGACCTACACACGCAGCCGGATTCACGGCAAGGAAGACTTTCACGAGTCCCTTATCGAGTCGGTCGAGAGGAGTTTGGCCAGTGACTGGGCAACCCACAATGTCTCTGCCAAGGTGTTTGGAAGCAGAGAGTGGCACGAGAATGGTGTTCCACACTACCATGTGGCGATAGAGTTCTCGCAGAAGATTTACTGGCCGATGGCCCGCAAGATGTTGTCGGTTTGGATCATCGTGGATGGTCGTCGCGCGGTGGACACGCAGTCCATCTTCATCAAGAAGCCAAAGATGGGCGAGACAAACGAGAACTTTTTACGTGACGTGCAGGATTACATAGCCAAGGAGGGCGATGTCTTTGGACAACGAATCCCGGACAAGGAGAGAACGGGCAGCAGGAAGCGGGATCCGCTACCAATACTGTAGCATCTTACTTTCCTGAAACAGGACTGGCGATGCCTTCCCACACCCACATGTGACT